GCAGTTCATAGTTACGAATGTCATGTCAATGCTTATGATTTTCATAGAACTTAATGATCTTTGATATGTATCTCTATTATGCATTTCATGTAGGGAACTTGATAAGAATAATTTGGTTGCATCGTTGAGTCCAATTCAATGAATTTAGGAAAATCTGAGAGTCAATTTGTGCAGTTCACGGTTAATTTGGGGCATTATCATTCGTGGTTTATAGGAATAATAGCTGGAACTCGATTTGTATGCATATGTATCATGTGTGGAGAATGACCATCTAGCTAGCTTTTCACCCCTTTAAGTTACCTTAGTTTCTTACCACCCTTACTTTGTTTCTGCAACCTACTTAGTTTTAGTTTAAAATCAGTCCAAGCAAACCGCCCCCCCCCCCCGGTTGGTGTTTTTAGTCAAGTCTAGAAATCGTCCAAATTCCCCTTTAGTTCATGTTTTGAGTCAATTTGTTTGTTTTGCACTGTTTTGAGTCAGTTTGGTCTGTTTTGAGTCATTAGAGTCTTATGTGAAAGTATGGATCGTTCTAGACCGGGGATTAGAAGGGATGCTAATCTACACTAATTAGACTCAAAAACAGAAAACTAGACTCAAACAACTCAAAACAAGTTAATTGACTCAAATAACACAAAACTAAATTAAATTGACTCAAAACAAGCACTAGAAAGAAGTTTGGACGAAATTTAAACTAAAAAGACTCAAAATACTCAATGGAGGTTGCTTTGACGAATTTAACTAAAACTAAGCAGATTGCAAAAACGAATTAAGTTTGGTACAAAATTGGGTGAATTATGGGTGAAAAACTAGCTAGAGGGTTCATCTCCACACATGACACATATGCATACAAATCGATTCCCAGTTATTATTCCAATAAACCATGAATGACAATGCCCCAAGTTAACCATGAACTGCACAAATTAACCATCAGATTTTCCTAAATTCGTTGAATTGGACTCAACGACGCAACCAAATTATTCTTATCAAGTTTCCTATATGAACTGCATGATAGAGATACATATCAAAGATCATTAAGTTCTATGAAAATCATAAGCATTGACAAGGCATTCGTAACTAGGAACTGCATGATACTCCTACTATGGATTTACTTATCACAATCATGACTAGTGACTTCCACTACTTATAAATATAATTTCATAACTATTAGGTGAAATTCCCTTATATTTTATCATCAAATTCATGCATGCAAACTAAGTGTGCACCCTTAATCAACATACAAGAATAAGTTATCAATCAAACAGAAAAGTAAATCACATTCATGTTTTACAAAACAATAACTGGATGTAATCAATTCATATCACATATATGTTCATGGCTTTGAATCCACCTCTAGCTAAAAAGAAATTAGTTCCACATGTTCATCATAATTGAAAACCAAATTAAAACAAACATTGGACTAAAACTAAGGTTAGAATACACCTAGGAACGCTCCAACAATCCCAAAGGCCTTGGATGGCAGGCATGGCTCCAAGCTCTTCTTCTCCTTCCTTCCTTGCAAAGCTACGGCACAAAGTGTTTAATTTCTCTGAATTTGTCTCTCTATGGTTGTCCCTAAATATCTGCAGGAACTTCATATATATAGGGTTAAAATGGTTGAATCCAATAAGGAAAGGGATTGAGTTGTTTGAATGGATTAGGACTCCTAGAATCAGATGGGAAGTATTTAGAATAGGATAAGGACTCCTGTTGCAGCTGGAGATAAGTTTAGATAATGTTGGATTAAATAGGATAATGTTTGGATAATATGGGATAAGATTGGATAAGATAGGATAAGGTTGGATAAGATCTCCTTGTTTTCAATTGATTCCTTGTCTTCCAAGCCTTAATTTAATTCTTCCAGATTTGTAGCACATTTTTAGCATCATGTGTCACCAGAAACGTCCATCCATTATGCTCCATACACATGCTATCCAATCCAAGTCCAAAACTGCTCTAAAATGCTCTAAATTGCCTTTTCTTGCCAACTTTACCATTTAGACCTACAAACACACGAAAATAACTTAAAACACTATAATAAATAAAAACTAAGTAAGTAAATGCAAGGAAATAGGCTAACAAAGTCGCATAAATATGCTCCTATCAATTCCCCCAACCGCAGAATCTCCCTTTTCCTTTTATTTGCCTTTCTTTTTTCGTAAAGAAAATTAAAGGGTTTACGTAGCATCTATTCCTCTTTCTTTTCTTCTTTTTCTTTTGCTTTATAACTCAAAGCAATCTATTAATTGATTCATATTCACATCTTGTTTTTCCTTGGAAATTAAATGCAAATGTCAACGTATGAGTTTTGCACCATTGTTTTTGCTCAATACATATAAATTAATGAAATGCGAATAGGGCAAAAATAAAGCAATGTATGACGAGAAGAAAACAAAAAATAGTCTTGCAATATTCTTTAAAAAATTATATTTTTGAAGGCTAAACATAGCCTAAGTTATTTAGCTCTCTATGACTGGAGATGACCTAACACCTAGGCTCTTGCATTTGGAAACAACATGAGGATTGCAGGTTAGAGAAGGGTTGATGATTGTAGTATTGCAAATGAGACAGGAGTCCCATGGGATTACAAGAACACCAATAATGTTGTTTTTTTCGGTCGTGAATAATGATAAACATCATTTGCACACACAAAACTGACCATTTATTAGAAAATGTGAGCAAATGTGCCATTTTGTACAGTATCATTGCCCCAATAACAAATATTAGAACAAAAACTATCTTGCAACAACTAAATTGAGAAATGGCTAGTTTGTAAGAACTAGAAAAATGATGGTTTTGTTTTTGTTAACCCAATAGCAACGCTTTCTATTGGTCTGTTAGCCAAAGCTTTTCCATAAATGAATCCCAGCCAAAACCAAAACCAAAAAGAAAAAGGAAAAAGGAAAAGTAAAGTAGGCCGACAACTACTTTGGCTAAAGCTAGTAGGTAGGACTGTCCGATCCTTGCCTTGCGAAAGTTAGGTTTACCACCTCCTGGCATGGTTTGGGAGCTTTATTTGTTTAATATCCTCCTGAGAATGCAAGCCTCCGCCGATGTCAATAAAGTGTGGAGTTATAGAAAGATGAGTGTGCGGGGGGTGCAAAGCCAAGAGTTTGTGCATAGCACCAAAGAGTGTAAACATGTTGAGAGAAGCTCTTCCATCCGATCTGGTCATGACCAACAGAGGGGGAGAGAGAAAGCGATCAGCGTCGAAGCTTCTCAAGCATTTGAGGAGTCGAGGACTTGTATATATCATTGCATTTTCTGAAAAGTTATGCATCCGGAACATGGTGTTTGGATGAACTTGGTAAGATCCTTCAATGTAAAGAATTTTCAAAGAAATGATAAGTTTGGCAAATTTTTTACAAGGTGAATCGCGGAAGCACAAAAATCAAAGGATTTGGTACTTCTAAGGGATTCAGCTTGTGAAAAATTGATCAAATCTTTTGTTGCTTTGAATATTATTTACACTTACGGATATTAGCAAGTTCATTCAAACACCATGTTAAGGATGCATAATTTTCACAAAATACAATGATTCAAGTCCTTGACTCCTCAATTGCTTTGAGAAACTTTGATGGTGATATTTCTTTTCCGTTTGGAAGCTCACTATCATCTATGAAGGTTAATCACCTTATGAACCAAATTGCTATACAGATGGTTTGTAAAGTTGTAGTGTGTATCGCCATGAATAGGTAATCTACTCCATATTGTTTGGTACGGTGGTGGTAAGTGGTAACATATTGTTTGGATGCTGCCGCAACTTTCCTACCCTTTTCTCTTTGGGATTTTGATTTGTTACCTTTTTCTTGGAGGATTTGGAGTCTTAAATCTTTCCCAAATTAATTAATTAATGCCTTGCCCTTTCTCCCTTTATTTTACACAATCTGCCGCACAAAAGAAACATCCATCATTTAGCCATCATTCAACCTTCCACACCTACATCCACACCATACCATTCATCCATCACAACCTAATTTCATACCCAAACACCCTTGTGCCACAATTTTGCAAGGAGAAAGGAGAGAGGATAGCTTAGAGTCGTGCCTGCCATTCAAGTTGGATTGTTGGAACGTTTCTAGGTGTATTCAATCTTTGTTTTCAATGTTTAGTTTAAGTTTTCTTTGTTTAATTGTGAACATGAGAGGCTAAACTTGTTTTAGCTAGAGGAGACTTTGAAACCATGATTATATTTGCAATATGAATTGATTACTTCTAGTTGTGATTTCATAAATTGTGAATGCAATTTGCTTAACTTATTGATTGATAACTTATTCATGTATGTTGATTGAGCGTGCACACTTAGTTTACATGCATGAATTTGATGCTAGAATATATGGGAGTTTCACCTAATTGTTATGAACTTATATTCACAAGTAGTGGAGGTTGCTAGTCACAATCGTGTTAAGTAAATTCCTGGCAGGAGTATCATGCTGTTCATAGTTACGAATGCCTTGTCAATGCTTATGATTTTCACAAAGCTTAATGATCTTTGATTGTATCTCTATTATGCTGTTTATGTAGGGAACTATTGAAGAATAATTTGGTTGCCGATGCGTATTCCATCCAATTCAATGACTTAAGGAAAATCTGAGGGTTAATTAGTGCTGTTCACGGTTAATCTGGGGTGTTGAGGTTCATGGTTTATTGAAAAAGCAACAGGAAATCAATTTGTATGCAAGTGTGTCATGTGTGGAGAAGGACCCTCTAGCTAGCTTATCACCCATAAATTCACCTAATTTCGTCCAAAGTTGTCTAAGTCTTTAAATCTGTTTGTTTTACTTTAAATTTGTCAAAACCAATCCCCCCCTCTTAATATTTTGTGTTTTACTTAGTTAGAACTTGTTTTAGTTTGTTTCCTTTAGTGTTTTGTGTCAAAGTTAAGTTAGAATTCGTCCAAAGTAAGTCTTAGTGTCTGTTTTGAGTCTTTTTGATTGTTTTGAGCTATTTTTAGTCTTTTTAGTTTGTTTTGAGTTCTTTGAGTCTAGTTAAGTGTTTTCAAGCCTAGTTTTATGTTTTTGAGTCAGTTTTAAGTAGATTAGAAATCCTTCCTAATCCCCAGCCTAGAACGATCCCTACTTACATCTTTACTACAATTGTCAATAAGAGGGTTTAATTTGAGTGCTAGTTTATAACACATCACTAAGTGCCTGTCGGACTCATCGATGGGCCCGGATAACTGACGAGGGAGAGGTGTCTGCTTCGACTTCCACCGTAGATGGAGAGGGAGCCAACACATGTAATACATCTTTTTGTGAAAAAATTTAATTTAATAAATTTAATATACTATTATTTGATTCCTTTATGTGTGAATTGTTGGGTACTTGTGTTGGTTGTATTGTATATTTGTTTGTAGGTTTTGGGAAATGTTGTAATTTTAGGGAAAATTTTGTCGAATTTTTTGTAGATTATTTAATTTGTTTTTACAGTAACTTATTTCATTTTTACTGCTCGTAAAAACACTAGGGGCCCATGTAGACTCATGGGCACCTCACAGCTCACCCGTACCACCCAAGAGCGTATAAAGATTACGTGGGATGCTCGACATCGGGAGGCATCAACAAACGAGTAGCACAACCATTTGGTCCACAATATTGGCTCCAATGTGCATTGCCATTGCCCCATGTAGTGGAAGTCTTGGAGACTTGTCCCCATAAGACTAAGGACGCCATTCTTCATGAGCAATCAGTTAGCAAAGTCTATTGTTTCATTATCTTTTAAGTAAATTGTGAAAATTAATAATTGTTAAGTTTGATTAATTTTTATCTTATTCTCAGCATCCCTATGAGCTTGAGGACCTTGATGCCAATCAAACCAAATAAATCCAGGAACTTTTCACTGGCAGGTTCACTTAGTGAAAGAGTGACCTCCACAAGTATTTCCAAAAATTCGACGATCCAGCTATCGCTTAGCACATGGGTGCCACATAGAGTTGGTGAAGCACCCTAAAAATTGGGCTTGGCTTTGCACCCATTTTCAGGACGAAAAATACTTGGTAAGTGAATTATATAAATTATTTTAGATTAATAATATTTTATCAATACTTTAATTCCATTTATTAATTTATTTGAATACTTTATAATTAATATCGGCACTAGTACGGTTCATTTCTTTTTAACATAAAAGAGCCAAGGCCAACACAATAAATAGGTCGAAGAAGAAGCTTATTCACCACTTCGGCTCCCGACGCTTCTCATACAAGATGAAGGAGCGACGTCGGATGACCACATTTAAAAAAAATTAAAAAATTATTACTCTTACTCTAAATTACACAACTAATAACTCGTGTCTTTATTAATTTTTAAAGCAGACAGGGTCGAAGTTTCCTAAGATTGACACGTTCAAGAAGGTGTACGTGCCGCCTGGTGATGAGTTGACGAAGGAGCTCCATGTAAGTTTTTGTAATTTTTAAATTTATAATTCTTATTCATTTTAAATAAGTGTTATATAAATATTAATATAATTCCTATTCATTTTAAATAAGTGTTATATAAATATTAATTAACTTGCTTTTATAATTAGGAAAACTAATGAAAAGAGCTTGAAAACTTTGAGTTTTAATGATAAGGACAAAATAAAGGCTAAAGTGAATAGTATCAGGATTGACTTTTTAGTGTAAAAATATGGTTTTTCGTTAAATTGAATAGTACCATGGGCTTTTCGTTAAAACTCCCTTTATAATTATAGGCTACTATGGTTGAAAGGAGTCAGGCTGTCCTCGAGGAAGTGGCTTCCCAACTTCCCCTTGACACCTTGGTGAAGGAGTTGCCCCCCTTAAGGATGTGGGTCTCTGTATCATGATAGATACCCTCGACCAGAAACTAGGTCTTAGGCTGGCGAAGATGTATCGGGGCATGGGAAATCCCCGCCATCATGAGACAGGAGCCTCCTCTTCCACCTCCACCTCAGGACAGGTTGCATCATTGACGGAGCAAGTAGAGGAATTCCAGTGACAGGTGACGGCCCAAAATCAGCACATTGCGATGCAGATTACCCATATCGCCACCCAGCATGCTCATATTACTACCCAAGAGTCTAGGATGGCCCAGATCATCACCGCACTTTTGAGGGGAGGCTTCGACATCCCCGCTGCTACACCTCCTCCTACTACACCTTCTACCAACTAGACCCTCGACCCAGCACAACCGACTGCCGGAGCTGACTCTGAGAACTTTTTTATTTTTTTTTTAATTAAACATTTGTGACATCCCACATCGCCCAGGGGAATGATCCTTAAATATATATTCCCATCTCTACCTAGCACGAGGCCTTTTGGGAGCTCACTGGCTTCGGGTTCCATAGGAACTCCGAAGTTAAGCGAGTAGCGTACGAGAGCATCCCAGGATGGGTGACCCATCGGGAAGTTCTCGTGTGAGTTCCCAGAAACAAAACCGTGAGGGCGTGGTCAGGGCCCAAAGCGGACAATATCGTGCTATGGTAGTGGAGCGGGCCCGGGAAGTGGTGCCCCTCGGGCCGGGATGTGACAATTTGGTATCAGAGCCTAACCCTGGCCGCGTGTGTGCCGACGAGGACGTCGGGCCCCTAAGGGGGGTGGATTGTGACATCCCACATCGCCAAGGGGAATGATCCTTAAATATATATTCCCATCTCTACCTAGCACGAGGCCTTTTGGGAGCTCACTGGCTTCGGGTTCCATAGGAACTCCGAAGTTAAGCGAGTAGCGCACTAGAGCATTCCCAGGATGGGTGACCCATCGGGAAGTTCTCGTGTGAGTTCCCAGAAACAAAACCGTGAGGGCGTGGTCGGGGCCCAAAGCGGACAATATCGTGCTATGGTAGTGGAGCGGGCCCGGGAAGTGGTGCCCCCCGAGCCGGGATGTGACAACATTCATACTTTTAAAAAATTTCCTAGCTTGTACGTACATTTTCACATATATTTTTAATTAATATTTTTTTTTATCAATTACTGTTCCTAATTCAATTTAACCAAACAAAATTATTTTGTTTAAAATTTAGTTTATATATAATTTTATTTAAAAAAAAAATTAACAATGGTTTGCCCGACAAAATAATCCTATTAACAAACGCGAAAACAAAGTACAATCTTGCGATAAGGAGAGCTTTGGCCCATAAAAGTATTGGCGACGAAAGACACCTTCGTTGCTCTATCTTGCGCCACGAACATCTTTGTCCCTTTAAACTCATGCAAGGAGTTCTATTTCATCGCACTTACAGGTATGTGCGATGATTGCGATTTCTATTTCGTCGCCAAAACTATTTTATGTAGTAGTGTTAAAAAATTATAGAAATTATTAAAAAATATAAAAAACTAATTAAAAATATAAAAAATTATAATTTTTTCTATAAATATTTAACCATGTTCTTTCACTTTACACTACATTTCAATATTTTTGAATACTTTCAACTAATTTTTTTATTATTATCCGAAATTAAAAATTGTGACATCCCACATCGCCCAGGGGTGATCCTTAAATGTATATTCCCATCCATACCTAGCACGAGGCCTTTTGGGAGCTCACTGGCTTCGGGTTCCGTAGGAACTCCGAAGTTAAGCGAGAAGGAGGCTAGAGCAATCCCAGGATGGGTGACCCACTGGGAAGTTGCTCGTGAGTTCCCAAAAACAAAACCGTGAGGGAATGGTAAGCCCAAAGCGGACAATATCGTGCTACGGTGGTGGAGTGGGCCCGGGAAGTGGTTCCGCCCGGGCCAGGATGTGACAATTTGGTATCAGAGCCTAACCCTGGTCGCGAGTGTGCCGACGAGGACGTCGGGCCCCTAAGGGGGGTGGATTGTGACATCCCACATCGCCCAGGGGTGATCCTTAAATGTATATTCCCATCCATACCTAGCACGAGGCCTTTTAGGAGCTCACTGGCTTCGGGTTCCATGGGAACTCCGAAGTTAAGCGAGTAGCGCACGAGAGCACTCCCAGGATGGGTGACCCATCGGGAAGTTCTCGTGTGAGTTCCCAGAAACAAAACCGTGAGGGCGTGGTCGGGGCCCAAAGCGGACAATATCATGCTACGGTGGTGGAGCGGGCTCGGGAAGTGGTGCGCCCCGGCCGGGATGTGACAAAAATACAGTTATCTTTTATTATTTTATAACATAAAAATTAAAAAATACTAATATTTTAATACGAATTGCCTGGGCTATTCAACTTAGGGATGGATTGTGTTGCCTATTGCCCATGAGGTCCTTTTTACACTGAAAGTGCTCTTAGAATCTCACAATGGTTTTAGGTATTCTGTTCCTTTGTTGATGACTTTTCTCGAGCCAATTTGATACTTGATTCTATGAGTGAGGTTCTATCATGCTTCAAAAGATTTTTTGTAAGGAAATTGTGAATCAATTTGGTACTCGATTCAAGGTGTTCTGATCTGATAATGGCACTGAGTTTATGACAAGTTTATTTTCAGGTTTTTTAATTGATCAAGGCATCGTACGTTGAACGAGTTGTTTGGGTACACCCTAACAAAATGGTGTGGTGGAGAGAAAAAAATGGGGTTCTTCTTGAAAAAAACTCACGTTTCAAATGAATGTTCCCAAGAAGTTTTGGTCGCATGGAGTTTTACTACTATATACCTAAGTAATAGACTTCCAACTCGTACTCTTGGCTCCAAGTCACCCTCTGAAGTTCTTAAAAACAAAAGATGAATATCTTGCATTTGTGTTTTTGGATGTACATGCTTTATTCATGTTCAAGCTCCTCATCGAGATAAATTTGATCCTCAAGCTGTAAAGTTTGTATTTCATGGATATTCTTTAAAAAAAAAAAAAAAAGAAAAAAAAAGAAGGGGTACAAGTGTTATGATCCTAAAACAAGGAAAATACTAATCTCTCGTATGTTCAATTTTGAAACAAAGGTATTCTTTGACAAACAGTTTGGAGCTAAATTTCAGGGGAGCTCTTTGTTGATCAAGTACATCGTCCAATTGTTGATTAGGTACCTTTGCCAACTTTTTTTTACTTATCTTACTTTTCGCAAGCATATCAAAATTTTTCTTCCATGATCAATCGGTATAAACATCAACAATTCCAGTACATCAAATTTATCTCATGATATTCTAAAATTGCAGCAGAAAATTATCATTCAACTCATAATCATGAAGGCTAGGTATCCAATTCAAAATTACATGTCCCATGAAAATGTTTCTTCATCACATTATGCTTTTCTAAGCAGCATTTCAAAGGCATTTGGACCTAAATCCTTTCAAGAAGCCTCTACTCAACCAGTGTGGAGGAATGCGATGAAAGTAAACTGCTCGTTTTTCCTTCCCTACGAGTATTGTCAAATTACCAAAAGGAAAGAAACCTGTTGCTTGTAGATGAGTTTACAGGACTAAATTCAATAGTGATGGTTCGATCGAAAGACATAAGGCAAGGCTAATCACCAAAGTTTTCACTCAAACCTATTGAGTAGATTATAACGAAACCTATATTCCAGTTGCAAATTAAGATGAACATAGTTCGAGTGCTTCTGTATATTGTAGTCAATATGTGCATTCCTCAAGGGCATCCTCAAGAATATAAAAAGGTATGGTTTTGCAAATTAAATAAAGCACTTTATGCTCTTAAGCAATCTCCAAGGGCCTGGTATACGAAGCTTAGCTCAGTTCTCGAAAGTATAGGTTTCAAGAGTAGCTATGCTGATTCTTCTTTGTTTGTTAAGGCATGACCATTTGGAAAGCTTGTTGTTTGATTTATATTGATGATATTATTATCACTTGAAGTAACATGGATGAAATAAAGAAGCTCAAGTCTTTTCTCTCTTAAGAAGTTTTCAATAAAGATTTGGGTGTTCTAGAATACTTCCTTGGCATTGAAATGGCTTCTTCGAAAAGTGATTGTTTCTTAATCAAATGAATTGTATGATAGCTCATCTTCAAGAAACTGGAAAGCAAATTATGATGTTGGGCATTATCAAAGACTGGTTGGGAGGCTTATTTATCTCACAATCACTCGCCCCAAACATAACGTATGTTGTTAGCTTAGAGAGTCAACATATGCATGCTCCAAGAACTAACCATTTGCAGGCAGTCAGAAGAATTCTACGATATCTAAAAGGTTCTCTAGAACAAGGTGTGATGATGAAAAAGAATGACATAATGAGATAGTTGGATACAACGATGCCAATTGGATGGGCTGTAAAGCAGATAGGAAGTCCACTACTTGATATTGTACATTTGTCAGAGAAAATCTAGTCACTTCGAAGAGTAAGAAATAAAATGTAGTTGCTCGTTCAAGTGCGGAAGCTTAATATAGAGATATCGTTTAAAACCAATAAGTTAATATGGTTTCGAGCTCTTCTTAATGACTTGGGATTTGGTTCACCACAACCCATGAAATTATTCTGCGATAGTCAAGCTCCCATACACATTGCCTCTACTACTATATTCCAGGAAAAAACCACATACATTGAAGTTAATTGTCATTTTGTTTAGGAAAATGTTCAAGACAATACCACCCAAATGATGTTTGTTAAAAGTAGGGAGCAGCTGGCTGACATCTTAACCAAATGCCTATTTAAGACTCAATTTCAAAACTTTCTCTTCAAGCTTGTCTACTTCAATATTCTTGCATTAGCTTGAGAGGAAGTGTTGGAATAATTATATTGTTCTTTGATTACATTTATAAGAGCATATCTAAAAGAGATGTCAAATATAATATGTGTAAACTTTATTTGATGGCTAATGTGGCCAATTGAATACAAATGTTAAATCTCCTTCTTTTGCAATTGATGTGTGTTTGGACCTAAAATTATTAGGCTGGGGCGAGTATGGAATTGTTCTTGTCCCAAAAGTTCTGCTCGAGGATTGCTACAAACCAGCCGGTTCATGGGCCACCTAACTAAGGTCGGACAAGTCCTGTTTGGGAAAAGAATATTCCAGATGAATAGGAAGTTGTGGGCCCTATTGTGAAGCGGATGAATGAAGAGGTTAAGTCCTGATGCAGTAAGGATTCTCAGGCAGATAAAGATATTGAAAAGTGGAAGTGAATGTGGCCTAATAAGAGGTTGAATTCAAAATCCTAATAGAAGGGGGATTGACTGAGATAAGATGGATTGGGGTAAGGAGTCCTAGTTCGAGTGTGGTTAGGATTTGTTCTTGCTGCTATAAATAGAGAACGGTGTGCGCAATTAAAGTCTCTCCAATTCAACACACAATTACCCTACGCAAACCTCTCAAACAAACTTGAGATTTTTCATTTTCTTTTTCCGCTAACACATCTTCAGTTTGGATAAACAACACTGTTGCCATAGAATCAATCGACCAAGGAGCACTTTTAGTTTGG